CCCCCCCCAAATCATGCAGCCTTTGAAGTGAGCACACTATTGTGGATCTGCACCTTGATGTAGTCCTCGGATGAATAAAGATATTTATCGATCTGCGTCAGCCCGCCGTCCACGTCCCACAGCAGAATCATTCCCAGAGACGCCGCCGCGCTGAGCATGCCTGCAACAAACACACATCTCATCACAGATCGTCAGATTAATGTCGTGCAACTGCCCAGACATGAGCCTGCTCTCACCGTGGTCCTTGTTCTTGTAGAGCCACTTGTTCCCGTCCTCCGTGAGCAGCTTGTCCTGTCCGAACGCAGCATTAACGAAGCCGTTGACGAAGGAGGAGGCCAGATTCATGCGAGCGGAGTCCACCTGTGAGCCGCTGCTGCCGAAGCCTGAGAGAAACACGGTCAGTAAAACACATAAAACACCGCGTCACAGTCCTGAGATCTGAAGCGGCTTACGGTTGTTCTCCAGGTGGGTTTTGTAAATGTCGTCTGGCACTTTCGGCTCCATGATGTCCAGCTTCAGACAAAAGAATCAAAATAAAACATCAAACATCTACAAGAATTACTTTATCTTACAATATATTAATATATATAATAAAATACACTATATTAAAATGTATATTTTACATTAAAAAACACTATTGACATGACAATAAAATATATTTTCACGACAAATTGTCAAACAAACATAAATATTATGTCCTTACAGGATCATTTTATATCAAATATATTATATATTATTAATTTTTTCCCCCACATCACATTATAAGTAGGGTTGCAGAGGAGTGGAACATTTCCGGAATCTTTCCAAAAATCCCTGGAATATTCCAAAAAAATCCTGGCAAGTTTCTAAAATGTCTGGAATGTTTCCGAAATTTACTGGAAATGTTCCACCTTTTTGCAACCCTAGTTATAAGTAACTGATTTTTTTCTCCATTTGATCAAAGACAAAAAAATATTTCTATTAACACACATTCATTTATATGAATTTATTAATGCATTTAATAAATTCTCATTAATATAAATTAATTATAATAATAATTATTATAAAAAATTAATAAAAATATATATTTTCTTCAGACATTTTCAAGGCAAAGCAAACTTTCACTGAAATTTCTCATTGTAATGCAAAAAAACCTATTCTCAATATGTGGTTGAAATAATAATAATTTACATTCCCATTATTGTCATAGAGGTATAAAATGATCTTGTCTGGACAGAATGATATTTTTTATTAACATTTAAATTATTTAAATTTGGTCCAACTACCGTGATGCATATTTACAACTGCACTTTACAATTGAAATAATATCAAATATTTCTGTTGCACCCTAACCCTTGTTTCTTTTGAGATTCTGTAGTGAAATGGGGGAAGTCGTGGCCTAATGGTTAGAGAGTCGGATTCGTAACCCAAAAGGTTGTGGGTTCGAGTCTCATACCGGCAGGAATTGTAGGTGGGGGGAGTGAATGTACAGCTCTCTCTTCCACCTTCAATACCACGACTGAGCCCTTGAGCAAGGCACCGAACCCCCAACTGCTCCCCGGGCGCCGCAGCATAAATGGCTGCCCACTGCTCCGGGTGTGTGTTCACGGTGTGTGTGTGTTCACTGCTGTGTGTGTGCGCACTTTGGATGGGTAAATGCAGAGCACTAATTCCGAGTATGGGTCACCATACTTGGCCACATGTCACATCCCTTCACTCACAAATATGTCCAGTGTGTGTGTGTGTGTGTGTGTGTGTGTGCGTGTGTGCATGTGAGTGTGTGTGTGTGAGAGTGAGAGTGTGTGTGTGACTGAGTGAGTGTGTGTGACTGAGTGAGTGTGTGAGAGTGAGTGCGCGTGTGTGAGAGAGTGCGTGTGTGAGAGTGAGAGTGCGTGTGTGAGTGTGTGTGAGAGTGAGTGAGTGAGTGCGTGAGAGTGGGCGTGAGAGTGCGCGTGAGAGTGTGTGCGTGAGTGAGAGTGCGTGTGTGAGAGTGCGTGTGTGAGAGTGCGTCTGAGTGTGTGAGTGCGTGTGTGAGTGAGAGTGAGTGAGTGCGTGAGTGAGTGTGAGTGAGCGTGAGTGTGTGTGAGTGAGTGAGTGAGTGCGTGAGTGAGTGTGAGTGTGAGTGTGAGTGTGAGTGAGTGAGAGTGTGTGTGAGTGAGTGTGTGAGAGTGAGTGTGTGAGAGAGTGTGTGAGAGAGTGTGTGAGAGAGTGTGTGAGAGAGTGTGTGAGAGAGTGTGTGAGAGAGTGTGTGAGAGAGTGTGTGAGAGAGTGTGTGAGAGAGTGTGTGAGAGAGTGTGTGAGAGAGTGTGTGAGAGAGTGTGTGAGAGAGTGTGTGAGAGAGTGTGTGAGAGAGTGTGTGAGAGAGTGTGTGAGAGAGTGTGTGAGAGAGTGTGTGAGAGAGTGTGTGAGAGAGTGTGTGAGAGAGTGTGTGAGAGAGTGTGTGAGAGAGTGTGTGAGAGAGTGTGTGAGAGAGTGTGTGAGAGAGTGTGTGAGAGAGTGTGTGAGAGAGTGTGTGAGAGAGTGTGTGTGTGTGTGTGTGTGTGAGTGAGAGAGAGTGTATGAGAGAGTGTGTGCATGTGTTTGTGCGAGAGTGTGCGTGTGTGTGAGTGTGTGTGAGTGAGTGAGTGTGTGAGTGAGTGTGTGAGTGTG